ATTTGGTATTTATTTTTCCTTTTGCTTACTTTAACTTTGCTCTTTTTCTAAGTTTTTTAGGTGATAGCTGAGATTATTGATTTGAAATATTTCTTCTTTTCAAATATAGGCTATAGTGCTATAAGTCTGAGTGCTTTATATAGTGATATGAATTTTGAGTTACTCTCTGTAATTCTGTGTTTCTCTCATCTCTGGCATTTTTTTATATGAACTCTAGCTGCCTTGGTCTACTTGGACCGTCACCTCTATGTTTTCACCTTGGAGAGTTTGCGGGCCTTCTGCTGGGTTCCCTCTCCCTGTGCCATGGCCTCAAAACAATAGTAAACCGTGACAAGGGCTCACCTTGTTTTTTCCCCATCTCTTTGGAATCACTGTCCATTTTTTGATGTCCTGTGTTTTGAAAACTGTTTTTAAATATATTTTGTCTTTTTTGGGGGGAAGGGTTGTTTTAGGCAGTAGGGTAAATCTGGTTCATGTTACCTCATCTTGGATGGAAGAAGAAGTTTCCATCAATTGAATATTTGAGCAATTATTAAGCACCAAATACATCCCAGACTATGCTAGGAACAAGGAACATAATAGTGAGCAGTCTTTATAAGGGCTTAATAAATAAGCCTCATTGGGTTGTTGTAATAGGAACTATTTAATAAATTTATTGAGCTGATGCATCAAAATAGGGATCACCTTTGGATTTTGGAAGGGTTGCAGGAAATAGGTAAAATGGAGACAAAACTGGGGGTTGGAAGAATAGTTTGGTAAGTTCCAGTAATTTGTATAAGGATTATAGGTGACTTAGTCTAAGGTAGGCAAGTGAGGTAATAGAGTGCTAACGAGTTATGAGAAATTTAAAAAGTCGAATAGTAATTGATTATTGAATAGATGGAGTTAACAGAGAGGAGAAATTAAAAGTTACTCTAGGTTGCAAGCTAGGAAATCAATATTTGGTGATAATACACTTCACTTTGCTAAGACAGAGCAATGCAGAAAGAAACAGTGCAGATAGTAATGATTTCTTCAGTGGACAAAGTAGCTCGGAAGTGGTTACATGACTTCTGTGTGGAGAGAGATTGAAAGATATCTAGAAGGCAGTTAGATATATGTATATGGATGTTAGGAGAGTGACCTTGTTTAGATTTCTACATTTGGGAGTCTTTAGTAACACTTACCTATTATAGTTATTGAAGCCACTGGAATAAATAAGATCATACACACAGAGCTTATAGAATGGGACGTGTGGAGAATAATGCTGGGAATGCCAATATTTAAGAATTTGGCAGAAGAAGAACTCTCAAGAGATTAAGGAGTAGGCAGAAAGGTGAGAGAGAAACCGGGAGAATGTGTTCAGGAAGTGTTGGGGTCCTGTTGATGTTGTTAACCATGAATTAATAGTATATGATTTTTTTTCATTCAGTACTTGGTATTTTGTATTGGGAATCTAATAGTTGGATTCAAGCAAGACTGACTTTTTGCCAGGTTGGTATGACTAAAGGTAGTGGCACAAGATTGTAATGATTGAGAGTCATATTGACGGATGATGGAGAGGGAAGAAGTTAAAAGACAAGAGGGTACTGAGAGAGTAAAAGAATGTAAAGAGGGGTTTATAGAGAGGAGATTCAACAATCTCAGAGTCTTCAAAAATAAGCACTAAGTTGTTAATAGATTATAGCACAAGTAGAATGTGGTAAAACTGGATGTTGTTATTCTTAAAGGAATAATAGAGTTGGGAAGTGTCATTGCAAATTAAGAAAAATTATTTCTCTTACCCTGAGATAGGTAGGGTGTCGGAGAAAAATTGGCCTCTATTGTATAAAAATCCATGGACAGTCAGGTTTCAATTAAGAAAAGAAATAAATGTTACATTTAGTGAAGACACTGGAAAATATAGCATGATTTCTTCAAGTCCAGGTATTTTAGAAATTACAGGGAAATACTGAGCTGAGAGACTTTTATTTATGTTTTTTTTATTTTATTTTATTTTTTTTCGCTTTGTTGCCTGGGCTAGAGTGAGTGCCGTGGCATCAGCCTAGCTCACAGCAACCTCAAA